CATCCCAGCACCATTTCAGTCCCTGTTTGCTAAGGGAGCGGGAGCAGTGAAGATGTGCTCGTAGCTGATCAGGCGGAATATTTCCCAACCCAAACTTTTTCACCAGGGTTTCTTGTGGTGACTTGCCAAGGAATAAATACCAAAAGTGCTTCAGCTTTGACAGGCTGGGAGCGAAGTTTGGGGAGGGAAGTGCTAAAAAAAGTAAAGGAATGCGGAAGTTCACGCTTTCTAGAGGAAAAGGAGAAAGAACCTGCTATGAAATAAAAATAGTGATGAGGCAGAGCTGCTGGAGAGAATTGAGGGGTGAACGGAGAGGAGCTGGGGATGTCTCAGGGTGCTGCTCTCCAGCTGTGCCCAGCTGTGCCTCCTCCAGCCATCCCCACAGACGGTAAGAACTTGAACATGGTAGGAAGGAGATTAAATAGCTCCCACTGCTGCTCCTCCTCTCTGGGATGGCAGTCTGGGGGTTGCAAGGGATGGGGTGAGGAAGAGGATGGTGGAGGGATGGGAAGAAATGAGGCAGGCAAAAAGGGGGATTTGTCCCAGAGGGAAAAACCTGTCCTGAAGGAGCTGTGCTGGTCATGTCCCAGATCCATCTCCCTGGGGTGCAAAAGACCTCACTGCAGAAAGACAGTCCACAAAAAGACCCTAAAACCAAAATAACAGCCCCCCAGACCAGAGCCAGCACAAGCTCTGCAGCAGAGCTGGCGGGATGCAGGATGCCTGCCACAGGGAAAATCCCAGCATGTTCAAACTCACATTTTTCATCAGACCAGGAATAAAAAAATAAATAAAATCCATCTTTCACGGCTCCTTTCTGAATGAAATTGCAAACCAGAGATGCTGGCACGTTGCGTAATGATCATGTCGAACCTTTAGGAGATGAGACATCAAGTACAACAGATGTGGGATATAAAAGCGGATGTGTAGACGCTGCATGAGAAACTGTGATTTTAATGTAGGCAGAAACATCAAAAAAAGCCAACAGCAACAGTGAAGTTGGAACAAAATGTTTTTGTCGGAAGAAAACCTGCTGGCATTAGAGAGAACGGCAAAATGATCTGCTGCTGGTTTCTCCCATCAAAAGCGCCGATGGAAATTTGCATGTTTTAGAAAATCAGAACTGCCCTTTCACAACGGGCAGCCAAGCTTTCGGGAAACGTCAGCCCTCACTGCTCTGTGCCCCATTTGCAGCCACATAAGTGACAACAGAAGCTACAGGGCCGTGGTGGTTCGTCCCCAAGGGCATTTGTACACCAGACAACCCCTGAGTAGAGCATTTGTTGCAGGAGAAATCCCCTTCCCTCGCTCAGAGCTCGGTTTTCCATCACAAGCCCCAGCGGGCGTTGAGCCACAGTGCCCTGGCCCTTTTCTGGTGGCCATGCCACCGTGACCGGTCGCCAACCTTCTCCTCCTAATCCTCCCACCCAGTGGCTTGGTCCCGTCCATCACCACCCACCCTGCTGTGCCAACAAAATCATTTGGGCAGGCAGACCAGGGAACTCATCCAGCTAAAAATATCACTTTTACATTTTTTTGCCAGCTTGTTTTTCAGTCCTAGATCTGGGAATTGGTGGGACACCCAGATCCAGAGTGGTGGGTGGGGAGGAACTATTTTAAATGGGTTAAGAAAAGCAGGGATCTGGACCCATCTTCATCCCTGGACACCTGGGTACCACCGAGCAAAGCATTTTACATCATTTTGCCCTTTTTCCCCGCTGGTAAATGGGGGAAATCTCTGTATATGGGAAACTCCGCTCTGACGCCATGGACTGAGAAGCCAAATGTCAAGCAGATGAGCTTTGATAATAATAAAAAACAGACTGATGAGCAGGGAAGAGAGATAAGAAAGATGGTATTTATTTGAATAGCCACAGGAAATCAGAGATTGAAAAATGTCTAGAAAAAAAAAAGCAGCAGCACATTTGGTTTAAAAAAAAAAATCACAGCGTGCAGATGTTTTATACCTTATCCAGCCAATCCCAGCTGACAGTCCTGTCATGGCCTCGACCATCATTTTTTGGCCTTTTCTCGAGGGTAACCCCCATTGGTCTTATTGAGCGACTCCATGCTACCATTTCCCGTCACCACGCTGGTGAGTATTCGCTCCACCTCCCCGGGCAGA